GGAAGGACTTCCTCGAAATATCGGCTTCGCGTGTCGTAAATCGCGGCGATGAATCAATGACTGTCGGAATTCGTGCGATGAAAGTGCTTCCGCGAATTTTAAATTTTGCTCGCATTTCCGCGCGCACGGGCGTTGTCCAATGACAAAAAGCTTCGCATCCGATGGATGTACGGTATATGAATGGTCTGTTGCTTTTGGCCATAATGAAGCATCATTATTGTGGTGGCTTCAGGCCGTACGTCTCTGTTATTCCGAAGGTTCGATCAATCAGCGAAAACGACTCTTCGCTACATGGATAAACAGCATTCCTGATGGGTGCCGAGCAATTCACGCTGCGACAACTGGTCGAAATAGAAGAAGAAGAAAAAAAATATGAGTGCCAAATCCCGAATTTGAGAGGCCTTGAATTTAAAGACGTGCTATTCCCTTTTTCTACTTGAAAATCTCAGATCGTATTCACAACATGCCAGAAATATTTGAGGTTGTGAAAAATAATTGTATTTTCTGTCAAAGTGAAGAGTGCCCGGGCAGAGCTGTAAATTAACTTCAATTTTCTTCCGATTCAAAATACTCTCGTGATTTTTATCTCGATAATAATTGCAAGCTTAATTTTATAATTATAGCGTGCAATTGAAATCATGTTGGCCATTTCAATGAAGAAAAGATTCCAGAAGCATTTTCACTTTTTAATTTAAAGTTTGAAAGTTTGTTTTCAGTTTAGATCAACCTTCAATATAGTCCTTAGTGGACAAAAACATTAGTAATGAGTTACTTATTTTCAGTGGTAATATTGATATTTTTAATGCATTTTCAATTTTAACAAAAAATTAAACTGAATGTGCCCTTTATTCTTTGGTTTTCGCGAAAAAATATCAAGAAGTGCTTTTTATATGTGCTCCAAAATGAGATGATTTTGTTTAGAAACGTCGAGGAATAATTTTGGAATGCATTTTTTAAAACTTTTTGCGAAAATTCTGATTTGTCGCCCCTTTTCGTCCAGTTGTTTTTGTGTTAGTTGTGGGGGGGAAATGGTCTCATGAAGCCCTGCTTCTCTTGCCCTTTTTATTGCATCAATAAATTCGGCTTTCGTGCTGTGGAAATTGCGCGTCCGGCGGATTTCCAAATCACCTTCCAATGTTTATCCTCCTCGCGTGACGTGACGAGATCGGAGAAGGATGGGGTTCAATACTGGCTTTCGAAAGCCGCATAAATTCGTTGGGAATGTATTCGCTTTGGAATCAGTAGCTTTTTATTCAGTGGTCGAGGGGAAAGCACTACGAGAGAACACACGCTTGCATTTTTAGAGCTTTTGTTTCTCTTGGTGTTGTATAGTAATGATGGCGTCTGTATCTTGGCATGCCTTCATTTTGGCGTTTGTTTTTGTGGTTGGAGCCTCTGATGCTGGGCGACAATGGATGAAATCCATGAATAGTGAGAGATTTTCTGGCATTTTATTGATACTTCAGGCATTATATATTTTTGGGTTTTTTTTTCATTTCGATATTCTAGGAATTTTCATCGCATTGTAACCAGAGCATTTAAATTGTTTTGAAAAAGAAGTTCGTCTATAGAAGATGTTTCCTAATCATCTTAAAATAACGGGTAAGAAGAATGATTATAATTTTGAATTTATTTTACTCCTTGACGTTTCTTTTGTTTTTAAGCGATAAATTTTTATTTGATCATTCTGTGGGTGGGCACCAGGCGATTTCATGGTCACGAATTGCGTTGAAAAAGTAATTGTATGTAAATTGTATTGAGAGAGGTATAATTGTATTTCAATTGTATTGAAAAATTCATTGTTTTTCAGTTGTATTGAAAAAGTGTAGTTTGTGTATGATCGCAGAGATTTTTTTATGATCTTGCGGGAACGGGTAAGAATGGTTCAATTTTCTAGTGTCGATTTAAAATTTTGAATAAAAGTTACGCCTTGACGACGTTTGTCTCGTTTTTTATGCGATACATTTTAATTTCTCTTTCTCTAACAGTCGAACAACTGGCGATTTCCTCGTCTCGAATTCACAGTTCATCAGAATGGGCCGAAAAAGTTATAAATTTCTCCTCGAGTTACATTATTTGAATTTCGGTGTTATTCAAGTAAGAATTACAATGGTGTTGAAACAATGAAATATTTTTTCAGAGATGCTTTCTTTTATGATAACAAATAAAAATTTAAATTTATCTCTGCTGCCCTCAGCCACGGGAAACTTTTATATCTTATTAAAATTACAAAAACCTTGTCAATTTTACGAAATGAAGCGCTGATTCTGCTGCTTTGAAACTTGAGTAAAGCTTTTATGATTCGAATTAGTGGTGGACATGATGTCAGACCTGCAGATGGACTGTCTGATGAAGCTCGGTGTGAAAATCCCCGAATCGTCGCCTCAAAGACAATTGACAGTTTCACCGGCTTCAACAACGACTACGCGAAGCCTTGCTCAAACGAGTCAAACCACAACAACTCTTAAACCGAGTACGAGTGCGACATCTATGCCGAAATCCACCACTTGCTGGTCGACCAGTCCTCAGGTTTTATGAATATCCAGTCTCAAAATCAGTATAGTCGAACCGCTCCAAGCCGAACTTGAAGGGATTTAGCGAGGAAATTATAGTTAAGGAGGTTTCCAGTGAGGGAAACAAGCATTTTTTTGTTCGGGGGATAGAAAGAATAATTGCAGGAAATAGTAATTGTTGATAGGATGCTGAACTTGAAGGATATAGGGCTATTTTCCCCACATGGCCTTTCACTTCCTTTCAGCACTGCATCAAGTTACATTTTTATTGCTTTTCTCTTTTCTGTCGATAAAATAATACCCAAAAGACCCCCAGAAAATATATTTATTATGGAGGTTTGAGAGGGAAAGCCTTGAAGTTGAGAAGGAACTTTAATGCAGTGAATGAATGAATGAACAGAACACTTTATTTGCCGCTTTTCAGCATTTACAAGGTTCAATCAAGATTTCCACAACCAAACCCCCTTCCCACCCAACCCAAATCCACTTAATGACATTTTAATCACTTCAGAGCAGGAAAGCACAAGTTGCTAACAAAAATAAAAGAAAATGCAATANTCTCGGTGGAACTCAGTCGAGAAACAATACCGAAGTGACTTACGACATGGTGCTCAGAACGGCGGCTAACAATGTGGGCTTTTCGACGCGTTCTTTGATGAGACGGGGTTCGTATATGGATGACCTGTTGCGAGAAGCAAATACTATGGCGGAATTCCTCAATTCTTTGCCGGCAGATAAGGTAATTGAAATACCGATCGCGAAATATTTTAAATTCAGTACAGTACCGTATTTACGAGAGGATAAGCTGCGCATTTATTTTGAGTAGCCATTTCTGAGGTGGACAGGCCGCTAAAAAAAAATTTTCACATTTTCGCAGAGGATAAATCGGAATATTCGTGGAAGAAAATTGCGAATTGATTTCCTCTGAAATTTTCACTGACACGTTCTCACGTTGTTGCATTTTTTGCCGATTTAATCTTCAAGGAAATACAGGAGTACTTTCTCTACAACGAAATTCAAGGGACCAGAAAAAAATCGTTGTAGGCAGAATTTCGTTGAAGAGAACCCCGAAAAAAATGGGGTAGAAAGAAAAAATTCTTTCTACAGAGAAAATCGTTGTATAGAGAGTCCGCCGTAATCTTCCAACATTGAGATTCAAAATCGGCAAGAATTTGAGGCATTATCTCGTTAATTGGCCGCATTTTTAAAGACAGCTTCTAATAAATATAGGCAGTCCATGAGAATATATTAAGGAATAAATAGTTTAATTACATTCGCAAGGATTTTCATTATTTTTCATGTGACAATTTTCCAGTGGCATATTCAAACAAATATTTTTTTTCGCATGTGTTGTCTTCAGCACAAGGCATTGATGATGTGCATGCAAACATCAGCTGTTCGAGATCCTTTGATTACTGAGAAGCGAGCTTTGGAATTCACTCGGCGTTTGTTGTGCGACACCGGAGCCAAGGTGTCGGGAAAATCGTCTTCCGATTGCAAATGAAAAACTCGGCATTTTGGGAAACATTTCAAACCCAAACTCCATCATCGTTTGGTTTGAAGACGAATATACTGTAATTTGAAAGGTACATAGTCAAAAGCGATCATGGAGGAAATGTATGCGGAATGTTTTTCGTCCGAATCAAAATCCGGTTTTTGTCGTTAATTGAGGCCGTGGGTAAATTCCTTACCCTTGATGCTTTAATTTTTCTCGCAGCATCTTTAAGAAAAATTTTCAGAAAAGTATATAATTAGTCTTGTCGGTTATCGTCCCTTCCGCGAGTTTTTTTTTTCATAAATTTTTTTGGGTTTGGAGATGAATAAAATTTGAAAGGTGGTCATGCAGAAAGGAAGATTGAAATTTTTCATGCGGGATTTTTTTTTCGAGATCGAAACTCGTTTTTTTGTCGCTTTGAGGCCGCGTCTAATTTCTTATTTTTTTATGTCAATTTATTGCTTCGTGCAGCATTTTCAAATTTGTATTTAAAAGGCATAATGCGCCATGACGGTTTTCGTTTGAAGTCATTGTTCTTGTGATGTTATTGTGAAGTCCAGAGCCCTCATGAATGAATAATGTCATTCAATAGCCAAAATGTACTTTTCAATTGGTTCATGTTTTCCTGGACATCTGAGCGAATTATTTTTGCGTTAAACTTGCTCTTCAATTATTGGCGTGCAAGATTTTGCTTGGCTTTTACCGAGAGTAATGGTTAGCGAGAATTTTCTTCATCGAGTCTAGAACTTCAATCAATTGAATTCAAATGATCAATTAAAATATATCGTTTGAATAATTTCATATTCACGCGTACAAATCATCGGGCTTGGTTGCCAAAAATGCCGTGATAAAATCGGATGCGGCCTATTTTTTTAGGCCGCATTGCAATCTCATAAAATTTTTGTACATAATGACATGTGATTGTCTATTATACTAACAAAAGTGTCACTTCACAATGACCTTCTTTACACCCTGGGTTAAAAAAAACAGCTCTTGTTCAAATCTTGGCCACCGGATAATTTCTCGAGTACTCTTTTTTTTTGCTGCATTATTTATTGCGAAAATTTTCTCAGGCTACATGTCTGTGTGTAAAGATTGCATTTTTCTGAAGTATTCTAAGTTTCGTTTTTGCTGTATGAGCAAATTTTCTTCTTTTTTTTTTAAATAGATCTTCCAAAATCCGATTTGTGTCCATTTGCGGTCGCGACATTCACGCGCTATCAATATGATGGTGAAATGAGGCAAATTTGTTCACGAAATAAAATGGAATTTTGTGTTTATTATTGGGCAACCTTTTGAGACGGAAGTGCTTAGCATCAATAAGAATCAATCGCGTTACATTTCCGTCCTCTTGATGACTTGGGCTTTTGAAGTTGCCGAGTGTCCGGTGTTCACAAGCTGCTTATGCCTCGACATCAGCACGAAGCTTCAGGCAAACCAAAGTCTCTCCACCGTCACCGATCAGAGACATGACGACGTCCAAGCTTTCCTGTGGTTTCAAATTAAAAATAAAATGTTAGCAAGAGTGGCAAGACGCCTTTTTGAATGCATTGAGACCCCCATGTGCGGGCACCTCGACATGGGGTCATTTATTTTTCAATAAAAAAGGCCGTACATAAGGACACTCACTGACTCAATATGAGGACATTGCATGATAAAATTGCCGATACATTTTAGGAAAATTGACTTATATTAGGCTTATTTGCGAGAAACAGATATTTCCAACCCTACGATCTATGTAAGAAAAATTCTTTGGTACTTTTCCCATAACTTCCCCATCCATTCAGCTAATCTAAAAAAATACCTGTAGCACAGAGGGACTTCCTTCTCTTTTTGTGACTTGGACGTTATTTTTACATATACCAACATTACAATGATTGTACAGTGGTATACTATTCAATGCTCCAAATGTTCTTATTGGGTTGAAAATATGAATCAAATTCAAGGGGCAAACGAAATTTTTTTTCATGGAATTCTGAAGAATATTTCTTACATAAAAAACCAATTAAAAATTATATAATTTAAGCCTATGAGAAAACAAGACTCAACTTAGAGACACTCTTGATGCACCAATTATGTCCGCATCTGGGGGTCTCACTGTATTTCTCTACTACACTCGAGGCAGGTACTTGTACATGATTTAGATTAAGAAAAATACAGGTAGATTCTCTTATTTACAACGAAACGCACGGGACCATAAAATAATTATTTATAGAGAGAATTTGGTTGTAGAAACCATGTACAGGGGTGAGAACCCTATGGAACTGAAAAAAATCGTTATACAGAGAATATCGTTGCAGAAAAGATCGGTGTAGAGAGAGTACGTCCGCCTGTATTATTTCTTGCTATAAATTACTATTTTCGAGGGGGCTTGTCGTATTTATTCAAATGAAGAATTTCCGCGAAAATTCGCTCTGAAAATCAGGGCCCGTTTTACTGTTGATGCGAATTTAAGATTCGAAGGTGAAGCATATGATTTTATCCGTCAAACGTAATACTGTAATTTTTGTCTAAAAGCTCGTCAAAATTCAGCTAGAAAATTCATCTGTCTCATTCAAGGATACTGTCGATTTGAAATATTGAATTTATGTTGGACGTGTTTAAGGAGATTTAATTATTGCTTGAAGCAACATATAAGCGGAATTGACGAATTATCTAAATCTTGAGAAATATTATGTAATTTTAATGGCAAATCACATTCGTAAGGAAATTTTTTTCATGTTATGGTCCAAAGAAATGGAAAATCGTCCTAAAATGCACGATATCTTCTGACCAGCGAAATTATGTTCAAAATTAAATTAAGAATGGCTTTGAAACATTTTCAAGTTCAAGGACGCAAGAAAAATAATTCTAAATAATATGAGGCAAGTAAACTTTCAACTGAGGCATGAGAAGGAATAACGAGTTCCTCCAATAACGGAGAAAATAATCGCGAATAATAAACAATCCATCTATTGTCGATAATACTGTAATATTATTTATCGCGTATAAGAGAATACGTTTTACATTCCTAGGTCATTTTATTCGTTTTTATGGCATTAAAAATAGAAAGGCGGTATAATCGATGATTTCGCTTTTATTCGAGTGAATACAGTACATTAATTTCTGAGTGCACAGGAAGATGAAAGATAATTTTCTGGTGTGCTTTGGGAGATGACAAATGTTATCCAGATACAGAAAATTGTTCTCTACAAGATAGGAATCCTACTATAGACAAAAACATAATATGAATAAAATGAAACTCATCACATTCAAACCTCTCCAAGTCGAGTCGAATTCCAAGGGACATTCAAAAAAATTCGAGTTAAGGAGGTATTTCGTTTTGGGGAAACAAGCTTTTTGTTGGAATGAAAGAAGAATTGCAGAAACTTTTAATTTATTGTTATTCTGGGCCTTAAATTGCTTCTTGAATTAGTTGAAGAAATAATGCTGAAGTCGATGGCAAGGGTTCCTTTGCCAAATTAGTCTGTCACTTCCTTTCAAAATGCATCAAGTTTATTTTTTCTCCCTTTTCTCTTTCCTGCTGTGTTGATAAAAAAGAAAAGCCTCCACAAAATTTGAGTTTTAGTGGTTTGAGGGAGGAAGCCTTTGAGTTATAGAAGTTTTTCATGCATTCTTTCTAAGGGAATTCAGTAAGAGACTTTTTAAAATTTGAAATTTGGAGGTACAGTGAGACCCCCACATGCGGACACCTTGACATGTGGACAATTTGGCATAGGGACACTTAGTTTCCCATGGAAAATTAATTTTTAAAAGGCCCGACATGCGGAAACTGACTCAACGTATGGACATTGTGTGATAAAATTGCATATTAGTTTCCGGCCAAATTACAAGACACAGATATTTCCAACCCAAAAATTGATGTAAGAAAAGTTCTTTCGCATTTCTCTCATCAATTTGCCATCCCTTTAGCTAATTTAAAAAAAAATACCTCCAGCATGGAGGGACTTCCTTCTCTCTTTCAATTGAATGTTATTTTTACAGAGAATGCTAACATTTCAATGTACTGTACTGTACAGAGGTATCAGTATTCAGTGCTCCAAATGTCCATATTGTGTTGAGAGATATTGATTAAATCAGTTTCAATTGTGAGACTCATTTTTTTAATGGAATTTCGGATTAGTATTTTGTCCATAAAACACCAATTAAAAATTACACAATGTAAACCTAAGGAAAAATGAGACTCAACTTGGGGACATTTCTGACTTAGGGACACTCTTGATGCACCAATTAAGTCCGCATCTTGGGGTCTTGAATTTCAGAGGTTGACTTATCGAGGTCCAAATGTATTTATTATGCTTGCGTGCTCATTAGATTTGTGTTTAGTGGCTAATACACAATATTTAGAAGGAGAACTAAATTGAGACTTTATAAACGTACCCCGGCGAACAAGTCGCTGACGGTGACTTCGGCGGTGATGGTGTATTCGACGTCGGGAACAATGGGGCATTCGGGGTCGACGGTTTGGCAGCCATCCCTGTTGACACCGACGATGTCGGTGATGTCAATGACGGTACCGCTGAGGTCGGCCTCGACGAGCACCTCCAAGGTTTCAGTGCTTGAGGCTGCCGAAAGTGATTTATTAATCTTTTTTAATGAATATATTCCAGCAACTGGACGAGTTTCGGTTAGAGAATTTTGCTGGATTTCCAACGAGTTCCAAACTTTTTTCGGGGCGTCTTGTTTTTTAAGCAACCAAAATGGATTTTTTTTAATATTTAATTTAATGGATTGTCACAAAGGATAGTTCAGTTTTCATTTCGTGGCATTTCTTGCAATGTGTAGGGATGAGCTGCTTGGAATCATGGGGTAGGTGATTCCTGCGTGAAGTTCAATTTTTTTAAGCGAAGTATTTGAAGCAAAAATTCAATTATTATTTTTTGATTGGATCATGATATGCTTGCAGAATATTTTCTGAATAATTTTCTCGTCTTTCACGCTTTTCCTCCGTAAACCACGAATTGAGAAAGGAATTGAATTTTCCACCACTGCATTATCAAATACTCTTTCCGCCTGCAAGTTGGTGTTTTCGCCAATATTAATTTCGTGCAATTTCCTGTAAAGTCTCCAGGGAACCAAGTAGAGTACGGTATCGCAATATCATAATTCAATCATTTTCCATTGATTCGAATCATGAATCAATTGAAAATTTGTTCCATGCTTTTCATCTGCTTTATTTTTACATGCTGGCAAAGAAAAAATTATTCGGTGTCAGCGGAAATGATTGTCATGTCAAAATTTCCAATTATATTTCTTAATTTTGTTTTGAGCTGATCAATCGGTAATTTCAGGGAATTTTTTTCTCGATTTCTCTTCGTAGTAGAGGGTGAATGGAAATTCGTCACGAAATACCAATTTTTGCCGCTGTCGGAATTTTTACCTGAAAGTGGAAAATTTCTTTTAAACTTATTGAAATGTCACTTGTAGACATGCTTGAAGTATGATATTCTCTTGAACATTTTGAAAAGTCCCAGATGGGTTTGAAATATCACTTTAAGCCCAAATCATTGGGGAAGTTTTGTTCGTCTGACAGTTAAGCTGATAAATTGAAACTTGCGTTGGAAATAAAAGTTTTGTTGAAAGTTTCTAGCTAATCGCTGAGAAAATAGGTAACGCTTCTGGGTTTTATAGTCTCAGCTGACCTTATTTTTTGCGTGAATTTATTTTTCACTCATTTTCTGTGAAGGGCTGAATATCTAACTGCATTTGCATCCACGTGGTTCCTTATTTTTTTCCACGTGTGTGCCACCCATACCCGTCGAAAATTAGGAGAAAATGGATCCTTTTTTTTTGTATATTCCAAAATGAATGGAAATCCTCACCAGAAAGCATGGAGGCGACGAAATTGACAGTTTCTCCGGGGGTTACGGTGCATGGGGCCGCTTCGCAATCGCCGATCTGGGCTGAAATCAGTGTTCCCCCGGGGCTTCCTATAAACATACACATTTCAACTTCATTAATTTCCTTCTACAGAATCAGACATTTCCTCCTTTCGAAGAATATTGTTTTTATAATCCGGTTTTTTCTGACTGATACGAAAATGTAATGACCGCATTTCTAAACTCGATC